GTTGTGAATGTGGATTGGAAGAAGTAGCCAAAGAAAAATGTATAAATGGGAGTCTAATGAACTGGGTTGGATGTACTATGTGTGAAAGATGGTGTCACGAGGTGTGTTTGAGTAGTGCTAGGCCTGTTTCAGACGATTTTGTTTGTAAATTTTGTTGTTTGTAATTAACATTACTTAATAAAAAATAAATTGCATTTTTTAGAATTGTTTATACTTTTACACTTTTTGCAAGTACAAAAATCCATAAATACATGTTGCAGAATATCTCTACTGCTGACAAGATTGTACCAATTCACAATGACACAGCTCACGTTTGTATAAACATGAGCGGGCTAGATTTTTAAAATTAATGCCGACTGAGACGGGATTTTCCTCTCGCTAACGAGAGCGGGCGATGACAGTAGCACAGCAACGATGTTAGGATTTTTAAATAGATAGATCTAGATCTATCTATCTTCTAAGCAGTGGCGGAACTAGAAAAAAGGGGCCACCCCGCAAAAAAATTTTTTAGGCCCCCCCCCCCATATAAATATTTAGGCCTATATATATATATATATATATATATATATATATATATATATATATATATATATATATATATATATATACTCAAACACAAAATACGAACAAGGATACTTATTGCTGGCCTGTTCGTGTTTTGAGAAATACGTGGGTTTTTTTAAAAATTGAAACAAATTACAACATCATGTCATGTGTGTAAGTTCATTAGTCTGTTATGTGAAAATCAGTTTTATATTATGTTTGCCGTAAGACCTCTAACAACATACCGGTCAAAAAGAATATAAATCATGAAAGCTTTCTGTAAATAATGGTGTCTCGTGTCATGTTTATTTTTATGTTTTTTTGTATTTATTTTATTAATTTTAAATACATTGTCATTCATTAGTAAGTAATTTATAAACAAATAATTATAAAGAGAAGTAATTGCTTTTTAATTTGTTTAGTACAAATCTATTAAAAGGAGCTTATGAGCATCACTATTTAACTAAAAAAAAAGGGAAATAAGTCATTGAAGTGGTTTGAACGTTTGCTTATCTTTGATAAGTTTGATTGACAGTGGTTTAAAAACGAAGGAAAAACTATCGTGGGACGGTGTCTATAGAATAAAGATAATCCAACCGCAGCTACGGTAATCTTTTTTACAAAACAAACATTAAGTCAAAAATGCAAGAATTTTTTTTTTAAACTATAACAATTTTTGTTATGGTCGGCCGTGGGCCCCTAAATGGCGTGGGCCCCCCCGCATTGCGGGGTCTGGCGGCACTGTAGTTCCGCCCCTGCTTCTAAGTATCTATCTATATAATAAAATCTAGATAAAAAATAACAACATACAACACTCGTGCTAAAAGGGTATGGCTAAATGCTTGTTTATTTTAAAACCAAAAAAAAATTATTTAAATAAATTAAGATGAAAAAAAGCATGAAAAAAACTTTTTTTTTTCGCAAAAAGTGTCTCGCTATTTACCCTTATCTCCGCAGGTATGTCTCGCATTTTCCCGCCTCGCCATTTCGCAATCTCCCAACACCCGTTTACTTATTCACAAACAGTTGTTTATATAATAAGGTATCTGGACAAATCCAACGACCCTAAGGGTTTTTTTTTCCGACGGGAATTACTTATTTTTGTTACCCTCAAGCGTCTGTCTAGGACCTCACAAAATATTATTGGGATCGTTCGCCAATTTATTTCTCATATAATAAGAATTTCAATCGTGGTCATTTTTTAACAACCGTCGTCGAGGGCTTTGATTCTGACCAACAGTTTTTCTACACGGCCTAGTCATCTACAGAGGTGCACGAAAAAAATTAGCCTAATGTACAGAGGGTAAGTACCCTAAAATCTTAGTTGAAATTACCCTGCTTTTCACATAAAATACAAAGATTCTATAGGGAAATACGACTAGTTTTTTCTGAAACCCTATGCGATCTTCTACCACCTCACAAAATATCTAGGGGGTCGTTCGGCAATAGTATTTTTCGTTATATAGCACAAATAAGTAGAATTTCATTCGCGGTCATTTTTAGCACTCGCTGGGGGCTTTGAGTCAAACCGGCAACAGTCCCCGTGTTCTAATAATTGCCCCAAGGCAGGAGCCTGCCAAATTTGAAGCGCCTGCGGCGACGGGAAGTGCCCTATCGGGAACCCGAGCACTTTGTAACATACATGTAGATGATCAATGCACGAGTGCAGATGTATTTGCAGTCAGCTTGGAAATAAACCCTTATCAAACAATGTCTACGAAAATAAACCTGGTTACGTCCTCTAAATTAAGTTGACCGTTTACCGGGCTATTGTTTACATAATTGTTATAGTTGTGAAGAACGACAGTTAAGATACTAACAGTGAGGATTCAAATTCAAGACTAGCATGGTTATCTATTTAGCCTTGGCAGTTGTTAATAATAGTGTATTTTGGTGTAGCCCTACCATATCGCAATAATTGTAGAACCAGCTATGAATAAATACATCAACTGAGGCATTCTAAATAAATGTTCTTACTTTAAATGTACTACTGGTTATAGAGATTAATAATTATTTCAACAAAAAATATTTTCTTTATGTGACCCTAGCACTGTTCCAGCCACCATTGGATCGCATATAAATTAGTCACCGACAGTTTACACATTAAGCGCTATGGTTATTCTTTATTTCTATGTACCCAGAACTACTGTAGCTGTCTATTTTCAATTTTAAAAAACCTCATTTTCCACAGATTGTGAACACCTGCACTCTTCTGATTAAACGTGTTTTAAACATACTTGTTATAGGCATACATTACTAAATTCAAAGCAGCGGTGTTCCCCTATATTTTGATATACTTTTGATATACATGAATGTATAATGCTCTTTCCTTAAAATAAATATATTAATATAATGCACAACCATTTATCTACAAAAAAGCACAAGTCCTTTATTTCAGTATGGGTATTGTATACATATTGATAGAAATACATGCTTTTATTTTACTTTAGTTGTTTATGTAGTGGTGCATTATTATAACATCTATTATTAAAGAAAGCTTGTGGTTTGACATTACACAAGTGCTTTTTTTTAAAGAAAAAACTATTATAAACTCATGGGACAAAAACTTGTTTTCATCAGTTTGACAAACCATTGTTTAATTTTAATCTAATCCCATATCCTCAACAACAAAAAATGTATTGAAATATAATTAGAAATAAGAAAATTAATCTAAGCTAATATGAGTGGTGGTGGTATAACCATCACAGTATTTATGATGTGATACATCCATATTGACTGGAAACCTCAAATTTTTAACATATTTAGCCCTATCCCTACAACCCTATTTCACTGTATTCGACTACAAGGCGGGTCATTTTGACCCGTATACTTTTTATATAAGAATATATTATTGCATATGTATATTTTTATAGTATAACTATTAATTTAATTATAAATGGACAATAAAATTATAGTTTATACATTTCTACACTAAATTTTAGTTTTAGGTAATTTATTATTATACTTTTTAGGCATAAATAAAACTAGACGTTACAAAATTATAAAGACTTATACCTTTACTATAAATTTATTTTTCATATGCAAGAAAACTTAATCACAATTATTATCAGTTTGCACAGTAAAGCTATATAGACTAGAGATAGAATCTATATATTTGACAAATAGTAATTTTACCATCTAACATGTTATGGTATCTCGCAAAATAACTTTTGTTTGGATGACGCTATTGGGCCCAACACTCAGTGGGTGGTTTCAGAAGGCATCTTTTTGTCTACTATTTGTTCTAATGTGAATTGCAGTAGCTTGGACATAGTTCTCTGTGCTCAACTTATGGCAGAATCAACTCTTTTGACAATATACAAATTTTTAAATCTGCTGCTGTCTATTTGTAATAGCTGTCACTTTGTATTCCAACTTATTGGGGACATTAGTTGCAAATTGAAAAAATATGGTCATTAGCTACCACTTAGTTTGCCCATTGGGGCATATTGCTAGAGCAATGTCATCATTTTGGCATCAATATGCATGCTTGACACAGATTAGTAGCCAAAAGCTTAGTTCAATGTAACGTACAAAGTTATCAGAGATTGAAACATTAGTTATCTCTATATCCATTGATTTATCAAAATATGGTTCCATGTACTTCAAAGCTGTAGTCAAGGAGTTGGTCCTATTTTACCCAACTATGGTTGGACTGTCTGAGGTGACATGGTCTAACACCCACGGACCATAAAACTGACCTCGTCAGATGGCTCTTATCGCAACAGACTGCATAGATACAAATCAATATTGACTTCCTGCTGTATCTTTATTATTACACAACTTCCTAAATACTTTATTGACAGTATGGCCCTAATTTCCAAATTCAGCAGCAAAAATAAGTTCAGGTCTGATTCATTGCTTTCAAATTGATACAGTAGCCAATGAACCCATGCAGTCATCAGTTGGTACGTCTTTGTATCTACTTACAACTTCTCAATGTGTAGGCCCAAACCTAGCAATGCACTACAGTTTTATTTGTAACAAAAAGTTTGAGTCTAAAAACATGCTATCAAAATTGTTGAACAAAGGATTGTTCGAATGTTGTGCTTCGACGCTGAAAAAAATGTTTCTAATTGGTGTCTTCAGTAAGCTAGGAAGGGATACTAACTTAGGAGCCCAAAAGTTCTAGCCCCAAGGGAAGTTGTTTGAAACTTCTATAGATTTATACCACTTTCCCCTACACTAGTAGAATTTTTCTCTATATAAATGTATACGGGTCAATTTGACCCACGTTAGTAGGGAGAGGAATAGCGAACCTAAACCTGCTCACCCTCATGCACACGTGCAAAATTAAACATTCATTTTTATGTTGAAATCAAGCATTGTATGTGTAGGTAGCATATCTAGAAGCTCAAAAAAATTGGTCCAGTGGTTGACCGGTAATTAACTAAAATGTAGCAGTGTCGGGTCAAATTGACCCGCCTTGTAGGGATAGGGTTAAGACACTGAACAGATTTCAAATGAAATATTTATTATATTAGGTTCTTCAGATTTCAAATGAAATTATTATATTAGGTTCTTGACAATGTACATCTTTGCAGTGAATTTTAAAATTGCAGTAATTAATCAGTGACAGATCTATGCAGTGGGCACAAATATGCTGATGTCAGAGATGCACATAACTAAAGTGGATATCTTTACACACAACAGAGTAAAGAATTACAAAACAATTATATAACATACATAATCAACACATGATGGCTTATAAAAAAATTTCTTAAATCTAATCAAGGCCCATATGTGATACAAATGCCACTTAACTTATTAAAAACTACAGAAAATGTATCAATCATAAACATGTATTTTAATTGTGTTTCAGTTTTCTGATAAGCATTTGAACCATCCTATCGCAACATAAGACAACACAAGTCAAAACAGAAAAAAATATGCAAAAGATAAAAAAAGAGTAAATAATTTAACCGAACAAACTATTCTTAAATTGATTATGACACACAGGACTCTAGCAAAAAAGCAATGGCTTCTTAAGCTAAGCGCCACTCTAGATAAGCTGAGTACGGTGAAATACTGAATCAAAACAATTCAAACTACTTCTTTCTGTCAAATTATGTAATATATTTAATGAATGTAGTATTAATGTTAATTTCTAGTAGCAGCCCAAAAAAAAAGGCATTAAAATACATTGCAACCACAATTTAGCTTAATAAACTTTTAGCTCTACAAACATCTTCCATTAAATTTTTCATGTATTTTATCTCTCTTTGCAAGTCTTCAACTTTCATTTTTAAGGTGTTATTTTTCTCTTCCAAAATCTGTTCTTCTGATTTTATTCCAACAGCCTCTTCCTTTTTTTTCTGTCGATATCTTATGGCAGCATTTTTGTTCTGCAATTTTTTTCTGTCTTTCTTATTAAGTTGATCTGCTACTGAGGGATCAGAAATAGCCAGGCAACTGTAACTGTATTTTGGATGCAAATGCTTCAAATCTTTCCCACGTTTGACTGATTTTCTACTATTAATGAAAGAAGAACCAGCAATAACTTTGTACAATTCAGGACTTGAACTGATGATTGTACTAATCTCAGCATTACATAGATTAAACCCCTTTTCTTCTTTACACAAAAAGTTTTTACCCAAAGATCCATCAACAACCGGCAATGATGATCTATCAGGTACATTTGATTCTATAACTGGAGTGACTTGTTCAGGGGAATCTGGCGGTGATAAAAAAGCATCCACGAAAGTCCCACTTGAAACACTTTTTGGTTCCTTATCAGGAACATTGAAAGCACTGCAGAAAGGGGTAGGGCAGTGCTCAACATAAGTGTCCTCATCAACTGAGACCCGTGGGAAATCATACAAGTTTTCCTCCAATGGAAGCAGGCTTTCATTGCCAAGGGCATCCAGATAGGTGCCAATGTCAGAAGATTCCATCCAATCACTACTGAGAATATCTGAGAAAAGGAAAACAACTCAAGTTGGTGGGCAAGGAAAAAAAAAACAATACACGAAACTTAGTTACCAACAAAAAAAAGTTAACTTTTCCTTTACTGCAAAGAGTATGAAGTGTTAATATCCAAATATATTTGCTATGTGTTTCAACCAGAGTAAAATTCAACATGTTCTAAATATATTAAAACTCAGCGGAGTTGAAGTAATTAATGTATAAAAGTTGTGATCTAATCTTGCACACCAAAGTTAAGAAAGGTGATAGTGGGGAGAAGTCTGCTCTCAGGAGCCACCATTTACACTACTGAAGAGGCACCCCCTGATGTTCATTTTGTAGGGTGCTTAAAGACAAGCATGGCATCATAGGTGCAGTTTCAAATTTAACTGTTGAATAAAATAGTACCCCTGACATTCCCCCCCCCCCCCATGCAGTTTGTCCAATCAACAGATCCCAGGTGCCAAAATAACCACTTTGGAACTATAGGCCCAATGAAAGGTGTAATAATGCATAAAAGACACACAGGCATCCTTTATATATATATATATATATATATATATATATATATATATATACGAGCCGGCCCGCGGCATAACATACGACGCTATTTAGTTGTTTCTAATTTTCAATAATTCATAATTTGTGAATTCGACAGTACCAACGCTGACACTGAAAATATTTCTTTAAAACACTATAAGTAGCTCGTTAAGGACCATAACCCCCCCCCCTTCCTTCCCTCCCCCCCCCCTACGTTTAAAATCGTTGGCTCTGCTTGTAAACATTTAGAGTGAACACAGCTCACTAAAACCATGTAGGGGTGGGGAGGTAGGGAGAGCGTTTGCAGCTTGTTTTCTAACGGCTCGAAGAAGAGAATTATATATATATATATATATATATATATATATATATATATATATATATATATATATATATATATATGGATAAACATATGCACATGCTTGTCTGATTAAAAAGGATTGACACAATTAAACATTTTGGTGGTTCTAGTAGCAGACTGGTAGAAACTTGACTTGATAAGGAGCTCATAGTAGGATGTTACAAAACTTAATTACTAAATATTCACTATGTAATGTGAATACTTCAACAGCCTGAATGGTACAAATTAAATTACTAAGTGCAATACTCAGAACAAACAAAAATATTTTACCATCTTCTTGTGGCTGCACATCATCAAAAAAGTGCTTAGCAACAGATTCCCGTGACTGCAAACCAGTACAGTCACCTTCATTAAAATCAACATGTTTTATGTCACCGAACAGGCCACTTGTCTGGTCGACATATATGTTGGCCACAAAGTCTGTGGCAAATAAATTCTCGTTCCACATGCTCATCTCCTTGAATGTATCTTAAATTTTTTAGTTGATTGATTGTTTCTTGTTTGGTAGCCGGGGCTAGGTATACATAGTTGAATGGTCTGTAGAAAGAATAATTAATAATTTGTAAATTAGTTGTTTGTGATCTAGACTTTACAAGGACTTCCTGTATAAACAGGGACAGCACTAGGCCGACTAGGAGGCCTATAAATTAACATAAATGTATCAATCTAGCAATCTATACTACTAAAACTCAAATTTGTATATTTGTTTGGTTACATGAGAGAATCTGAACTATGTGTAGAGCTGTATAATACATATTTAGGTAGAGAATAATGTTCTTTGTTACCAAACTGTTAATCACAAATTCATTTAAAGATGTTTAATTTAATGATATATTCATTGGTAGAAATACCACTTTAATTATAAAAGTTCAGAACAAACACATTGTTTTCTCAAGAACTTAAAAAACTTTCCCCTGACCCCGGGCTTAGTGACTTCACTTGATGTTAAGACCAAACCAAAAATAGCTTTACAGAAAAATACAGTGACATGAAATGTATAGGAAGAAAAGGCAACTCATACCGAAAAAAACTTTAAGGCCTAATTAAAAATAATTTGTTAAAAAGAAAAACATACAACAATAAGTAATACACACAAACAATCAATAATTGAAACTCTTTATTAAACTTATTTAGTCCATAAATATCTCAGATCTTATAATTCGAGATCTAAATTCTAGAATCTAAATCTACGGAAAAACTAGACTTAAGCTAGCCGTAGATTCTAGCTATAAATAGATCTAGCCTCTCTAGATCTACAATCTATGCCAATAATTAGTTTCTATAGGAAACCAATTCAGGCCTTAATTATTTTATAAAAATCTTTGTTTAGCTTTGGAATTGGCTAAAACGGGATATTTTAATTTGAAATAATGGGCCTATTCGCGTAACAGAATTTCTTAGTTACACTGATTCTCTACTATCCCACTAATTTCTATCTAATCAGATAGCTGAAATGATAACCTAGATAGCTGAGATGATAATGTAATAGTCACAATCAGGTGGCACGGTACAGGTTTGAGACATATCACGTCAATGTTAATTTTTTTTTTAATTTTATAGATGTGAATGATAAAGATGCCAATTGGGACTTGGCGGGACACGGGGAGGGTGAAGTAGAGTTGGGCAGGTGTAGAGTTCACCTGTGACGTCAGCATATGAAGGGATAGTGTGGTCAGACCCACGCTCAGCCGAAATAGTTGTTTTTAAAAGACAAAAACGTCGTCTGAGGTGTGACATCTTTTTGAATGTGGGGTCTGGTTTTTACGTGATGATAACCCTAAGCCATGACAATGAGGTAACTTTTTCGTACATTACTAGCCGCGGGCGACTTTACATACCTAAAACGATAGATTACCAATATATTAATTATATATTTAGTAGCGAGGCTCATTAACTTGAAAGCCTCCTTGGTTGCTAACCAGAACATAGCTACCTCACCTTGGCCTACGATCGCACAATTTTTTCTGCTTTGTTCGAGAGACCACCTTAACATTAAATTTAAAAATAATTATCACGCAAAATTTTTTTTTTATTGTGACGTCATCACTATTGTTACGGAAGCTGTACGGTAGTATCCTCTTGCTGCTTATATAATTGTGTTTTCTTTTCACGTGACACTTTTTCAGCTTATTTTGCTAGCGTAATTAGACTAATTAAGCCTAATCATGGATATTTCACATGGCTTTTGGATTATACTACGACTCTAAAAGCCAAAAGCCCTTAAACCACAACGATCTATTTTTTTTTTGTTGATCCCTGGAATTAGATCTAGTAGTGAGCGTTGGTCTTTGTGTGCTTATTTAGGCCTAATTATTTGTTTTCAAATTTGTTATAGCTTAATTAATTTGTCTTAATTCTTATTGATTTCATAAATTTTAATTAGACTAATTATATTATTATTGTCACTGGTCTTCGTTGATACATTTATTAGGCTTAATAATGTTAATATTACGATTATAGAGGCCTGATAAATTAAATGATTTTAGCGTTGGGTCTAAGTTTACATTACTAATTAGTACTTAGTAAACCAAGTACGCATGGACTAGGACATGTGTGTGCTGTGCCCCCGCTGTGGCGGGCTATGCCTCTCTCGCTGACAAACCAGCGCGAGCAAGCATGTGTCACACTTGGTCTGTGGCGATGTTTGGATGCATAGGCATTGGCCTAATTCTCGCTCTCGGGTAATCAATTTTTCTGCACTGACCTTTAAAAAATCAAATAGACACACATCTTAATAAAATACATTTAATGTGAACTTTATATTAATCTAGACCTACAATACAAATTATAACTTGGGATAACAAAGTACTTGGACTAGATTTAGCGCATGCTCACACTGTGCTGTGAGTTTTCTCTCGCTGGTTGACAAAAGAACGCAGGCGGGCTGGCGATGTTTGTAATTTGCCCACAGGGCCTATCTTTGCTCACGTGCGATCAGCCTCTTTTTATTTTATAGGCCTGATTAATTGTATTTGATAGGCTAACTTTTCTGGTTGACAATCCGACGCAAGCGAGATGTCTGTCACGCGCACTGCCCGTGACGCTGTTTAAAATGCATTTCTCGCTAACTTGATCAATTTTTATGCTATTGCAGTTTTAAAAAAATTAATCAAATACTTACAAATCTTAACAATATTATAAACTTAGCATCGGCGAAACTTTGTGAATAACACACCTGTCCCAAGTCCAGTGCGAGAGGAGGGTTAGATTCATTTTACAATGACATCGCTAGAATTTTATAAATTGCCCTGATTAAGCATTGCTAAAACACACTAGTTAGTAAAACATGCATGGGATAGAATGCCTTTAAAAAGTTAAGATCTATTCTATATTCTTACACATATTTTATTGATGCATATTTGTCATCAAATTCATTAATCTGGGTTAAGTTTTCCTATTTAAACATCCTTCCATTAAAAAAAAACGGAAATCAAATATTTAAAAAAATATAGATCTAGATCTAATTCCATCTTGTGATTTTTATTCTGACGAAGACAGTGTCCATACGAATAGAAATGTGGTAATAAAATCAAATGTACTGTGCATATTCTGCTAATATCAAATCAGCTGCAAGGTCAATCCTGCAGAGTTCTCTTCAGATAGCATATGGTTGTCACAGATTTTTTGGCTTGCAATGCTGGGAGTGGCCAATTAATAAAAATCGGAAATTAAGCTCCAAATGAGTTTATTATCAACAAATTAAGCATTTGATTGATAAGAGATTGATCTCTAGTTTTCATTGGTAATGTTTAAATCGAAAAAATAACGAAATTTAAAATTAGTGAGTATCGCTAATATTTAGCCATTGATTTAGATTTATTATTCATTTATCTATAAGTTGACACAAATATATCACAATAATATACTTCTATTAAAGCCTTGACAATGAGGTAACTTTCGTACATTACTAGCCGCTGGGATTTTACATACCTAGAACCATAGATTACCGATTTGAGAGTGATATCTACATTATCTAGATCTAGAGTAACTTGGCCTGGCCCGACTACGCGCCTCGAAACAAACAACTCCGTAACTCTCACTTTGAATACTAATTGCACTGTTATTTGAATGTTTTATACAGAAACATTATAATTGGTAGCAAATATGTCCATTTATATCAAACTTTGATCCATTGAATTACCCACAGTGGGATATGAGCAATTAAAAGCAACCCGTCATGTAGGCGGCCATTTTTACGTTGCCGAGACAAGCAAAGCCTCCTGCCGACTTAGCGTCTTTTTAAAACAATGTTTATTTTTTTTCAGAAAAAATGATTTGAAATTGAATGGGATAGGCTACAGAACATATATTTTTTATAAAAAATGCTATTTTCTTTACTAAATACATTTTTTTGGGGTAGTCGTAAGGAGGATGAAAATTTACGTGTTTAGCCTGGAAACGATTACCTATAGTAAACCGTAACAGCATTTTATTGGGAAGAGTTATCTCCACTATTATTTTTTTTCCTTTGTTATAAATTATATTATTTTTGGCACTTAAAAACAAATACACACTGAAACACAAAACTAAACACATAAAATATTAATAGTACAAGATTATTTATTCAACTGAGCTGAAAAAAACAGCACAAAATGACTTAGTCGGATGGAGGAAAGACCAGTCGTTTGTAGGCGAAACCGGGAAAATTGTTGTCGGGTCCAGGACGACTGGGTCGTCTGTTTCGGGGGCATATATTTAAAAGTTATAGGCCTAGGAAAAAAAGGGAATACATATTTTTATTCTTCTTTGGATGGAGAGTTTTTCTATGCCTTGGTTTTCATTATATGTCAAATAGTAACGAAATTAGGTGTCTCGAACCGGAAAGGAGTCTCCGTTTCGGGCTAAGGGTGTCCGGGCCTGGTAAAGTTACTCTAGTTTTCATTGGTAATGTTTGGGTAAAACCTTAGTTTAGCGTCGGTTATTATTCCGGAATCGTATAGCAGTAAAAAAACAGTAAAACAATGCCAAAGTCTGTCACACACTTCCGGAATTCACCGGAAGTACTGTAAACCATACTTTATTTGGCGTCATCTTTTATTTTTATACAGAATGTTTAAAATTTGGATAGATTTATTTTTGTAATCATTTTTACATTTTGTAATCATTTTTACTATTTTCGTAATCTAGATTTTTTTACTTGGTCTAGCAGCTAGATATCTAGCTAGATCTAATTAACCATTAATGTCCCGTAACGCCGGCTGCCGCCCAACACCGTTAATGTCCCGTAACGCCCGCTTACAATACGCATAGAAAAAATAAATTTGTTTCATTAAAATTTGGCCTACAAATCCTAATTTTTAACTAAACAGGAAGTCGGATGGTTTCAGCATCCTTTTCCGGTCTTCTAATTTCAATGGCGCTTTTGAAAGATAAAAAATAATAGTTTCTTTCTATCTCAAAATTTTCGACTCATCTGTCGTATTTTTAGTAGATTTAATATTAAAAATAAAAAAATTAATGCCTCTAAACGTATCTAGGCATGTATTTTATGAATTATATATGTTAAACATAACCAAATTGATATTTAACTGTTAAAT